AACCAAAGTCGGATTTGACTAAAAGTGGGGTTAATTGTCACGATTTCATGTGTAAGAACCAAAATGAGATTTAGTGTAAAGTGTAAAAGTGTAAAGTATAATTTATCCAAATTCATGATTTAGTCCCTAATGGTCGTCATAAGACAAAAAAAATTATGTTGAAGATAACGTAACACCATTCTTCATAATATATGAAATTACTTATTGGATGCCGATACTCATCATTATATTTATATTTTCTCTAAAATAAAAATTTATTATATTATTGAGTTTTTAATGGCAAATACAGTTAAATAAATCTTTTTCAATGTGAGGTGGACGTGGGGTTACTATAAGTTTGGGAGCGTATGTTGGAAAATGGTTTTATATAGGCATATTTTGAGCCATTTTGGGTGGGCCCTAACGTTCTTTTGGGTGGGTCCGAAGAGGTGACGTGTTCCTTGCCGCGTGACAAGTCACACGGTAAGACGGTACGTCAAAACCATTTATGAGTGAATGGGAAGTTGACGCCGTTTTCGGATTTAACATTAATTTTTTAGATAAAATATCCATTTGAATTTTTATTCATAAAAAATTATTGTGGAAATTTAATTTAATTCTAAAATTCAAATTTGGATCTTAGTTTTTCTTAAAATTTGTAATTATAAGAATTTAATTTAATTCTAAATTCAAATTTTAGTTCTTAAAGTGATTTTTAAAGTTTGTACCTCTTTATTTATTTAGTAAACTATTCAATTTGTTTCAAATAGTTTATATAAATAAAAAGATGCAATAGTTTTGTATCAGTTGCACTAACGGACAAAATTTCAATTTTCCACTAACGGACAATTGGTTGAATATTTGTATTCAATGTGCTCTAGTGTAGAATCTCTTTTTTTGGAATTCGAAAACTGTTGTACCGGTTCTATCTATCAGTACGTGTTCGGATTGTGTATTTTTTCTGTCTATAAATAGAGCTTATTCATAGCAGTTTAAAGGATCCCAAAAATCAGTCTGAGATATAATTTTCCATCCGAGTTTTCAATCTGGATTTTTTGTTCTTACTGTCCAGATTTATTTTAGTGTATTATTCTTCTTTATAATTTAGGAAAAATATTCAGAGAGTTAGAACAAGGTTTGGTTCGCCGAACAAGTTGTTTGGAGTACTACTACATTTGTGAAGATCATTTGTATCCTGGGAGATAGACGCTACTCAACCGTAAAGTACCATAGCGGGCGAATTTACTTAAGGATAGAGTGTGCACACACTCGACTTGTCTTGTAATTTTTTTTGGTTCGACAAAATAAATTCGTATGTTATTTATATATTTTGTTTGATTTTATTTCTAGTTATTTTATTACACAGAAGATTGTTCCAACATTCTTAAGACAGATTCGGAATTATCCTGTTTACAGAATTTTTCGTTTGTTTTCCTTTTCATTCTTCGTAAATAATTTCGGAAGAAAAATTATTTTCTGTTATTTACAAAATAATATTCTGGTGAAAACAATAGTGATTATATGCTATTTGACAGATAGTAGTATATACTGTCTCTTTTTCTTTGACAACAAGACTAGTAGTAGATACTGGTGTCATTAACAATTCAGAATATTATTTTTGTGGAATTTTTTCAGAAATTAATTTTGGGTTTTAGAAATTATTTTCTGAGTTTTCATTATTAAAATTCTGTTCAGTATTTTAATTATTGAAGTGTTACTGAAATTAATTTTTGTGTGGAATTAATTTGGTTAAATAAAATTTTATTTTTTTCAATTAATTGAAAAATAAAAGTTATAGTTTTTATTTCTTTTATTTTATAGAATTTAATTTTCTGTGTGGAATTAATTTGTTTAAATAAAATTTTATTTTATTTTTCAATTAATTGGAAAATAACAGTTACATTCTTGTTTCTTTTTTATTTTTACAGAATTTAATTCTGTGAATTTGGTTTAGATTTCTGTAAAGAGGCCAACTAAGGGAAATTTTTCACTTATTTTGTGATGAAAACATACTAAATAATGTATCAATAACATATATTGTGACAATAAGTCTGCAGTTTTATATTCCAATAACAACAGGAGCTCGACAAAATCAAAGCATATTGATATCAAGTTCCTAGTTGTAAAAGAAAGAGTGCAGAGTGGACAGATTTCCATAGAGCACATTGGGACAAACTCCATGATAGCGGATCCACTTACGAAGGGACTACCACCCAAGGTCTTTCATGAGCACACTGCTCAGATGGGTGTTGTTCTATTTGTGTTATGGACCTAATGTGTAGATACTAGTTGTATAATTTCTATTTCTATGAGGGGCAGAAATAGAAATTAAAACATATTGGTTAAAGTTGGTTTTCAGTTTTAAAACCAATAATGGTTAATTTATTGGTTTTCATTACCTTTCAGTTTTGAAAACCAATTACTGTTGGAACAATCTTCTGTGTAAATAAAATAACTAGAAATAAAATCAAACAAAATATATAAATAACATACCGAATTTATTTTGTCGAACCAAATAAAAATTACAAGACCAAGTCGAGTGTGTGACACTCTATCCTTAAGATAAATTCGCCCCGCTATGGTACTTACGGTTGAGTAGCGTCTATCTCCCAGGATACAATGATCTTCACAAATTGTAGTAGTACTCCAAACAACTTGTTCGGCGAACCAAACCTGTGTTCTAACTCTCTGAATATTTTTCCTAAAATTATAAAAGAAGAATAATACACTAAAATAAATCTGGACAGTAAAGGAAAAAAAAATCCAGATTGAAAAAACTCGGATGGAAAATTATATCTCAGACTGATTTTTTGGGATCCTTTAAACTGCTAGAATAAGCTCTATTTATAGACAAAAAAATACACAATCCGAACAGGTACTGATAGATAGAACCGGTACAACAGTTTTCGAATTCAAAAAAGAGATTCTAACTGAAGCACATTTGAATACAAATATTCAAACCAATTGTCCGTTAGTGGAAAATTTGAAATTTTGTCCGTTAGTGCAACTGATACAAACTATTGCATCTTTTATTTATATAAACTATTTTGAACAAATTGAATAGTTTACTAAATAAATAAAGAGGTACAAACTTTAAGAAATCACTTAAGAACTTAAAATTTGAATTTAGAATTAAATTAAATTCTTATAATTACAAATTTTAAGAAACCACTTAAGAATCCAAAATTTGAATTTTAGAATTAAATTAAATTTCCACAATAATTTTTTATTGAAAAAATTCAAATGAATTTTATCTAAAAAATTAATGTTAAATCCGAAAACGGCGTCAACTTCCCATTCACTCATAAATGGTTTTGACGTACCGTCTTACCGTGTGACTTGTCACGCGGCAAGGAACACGTCACCTCTTCGGACCCACCCCAAAAGACGTTTAGGGCCCACCCAAAATGGGCTCAAAAATATGCCTATATAAAACCATTTTCCAACATACGCCTCCCAAACTTATAGTAACCCCACGTCCACCTCACATTGAAAAAGATTTATTTAACTGTATTTGCATTAAAAACTCAATAATATAATAAATTTTTATTTTAGAGAAAATATTAAATATAATGATGAGTATCGGCATCCAATAAGTAATTTTCATATATTATGAAGAATGGTGTTACCGTTATCTTCAACATAATTTTTTTGTCTTATGACGACCATTAGGGACTAAATCATGAATTTGGATAAATTATGCTTTACACTCTTACACTTTGCACTAAATCTCATTTTGGTTCTTACACATGAAATCGTGACAATTAACCCCACTTTTAGTCAAATCCGACTTTGGTTCTTACACATAAAATCGTAACAATCAACTCCCTACATTTTTAGTCAAATGTCAATTTTTCCCTTCTATTACTCCATTATTTAAGTTTTTAATAGAATCTAGTCATATAACAAACATGCAACTACGAAATGAGGGCAAGAGAAAAATAATTCTCATCTCCAATCAATACATACTCTGTCCCACGTGATAAGCATGTGAAAGTTATATAATACAATATATGTGTGTGTATGTGTTCATATGCTGAAAATTAGGACGAACAAGTAAGAAAATAAAATTTTTGCAATTAAAAGAAGAAACGTGACAAAGAAATCGAAAACTTTGTTACTGTGGAAAACAAAGTTTCATTATTCCAAGTTTTGCAAAATCCTAGTTTATCTCCTAAATCATTCAAAATTTGCGTTTTGTTTTAGCGGAATACAATCAAAATTTGATGTAAATTTTAGGACGAAATGTGTATAGACGAAAAAATTGGGTGATTTTTCTCTTTCATCCTCATTTTATAGTCATATAATTGTCATATTAATGACTTCTGTCAAAGACTTATATGATGAAATAATAAAAAAGAGACATTGACACCTAACTAGAAGTGCAGGGAGTTAATTGTCACAATTTCATAAGTATAGGAAGTTAACTGTCATGATTTCATATGTAAGAACTAAAGTGGGATTTGATCAGAAGCATAAGGCGTTGATTGTTATGATTTCATATGTAGGAATCAAAATTTTAAAGCCTTTTAACATAATTTCTAAATTTATACTCAATGACTTTGAATGTTAAATATCAATTAATTTAGTTAAAAATAAATCAATTAAGACGCAACCCCTACAATGTTATTGTGGAAAAATTTATAAGTAAAGTTTTAAATTCTTCAGTGTTACTCATAAAAAAAATATATATATATATATATACCATTTTATTTTTTAAATTTAAAAAATAAGTAACATGCACCTCTATAATAATAAAATTGACTCGATAAAATTGATTTTATATTTTAAAATTTAAAATAATTAAAGATCATTTTCATACACTGAAATATTAATGAAATAGAAAGTTACTAAAACAATTTTTATAAAACTAAGAAATCTCCCATTATATATTTTACAAATATTTGTTAATAGAAATTATAAAAAATGAAAGAACCTCCCAGTCGCTACACAGTTCCGTGCTTGACGAGCATACTTGTCAGGTTCTATATATATTTTACATATAATGACATTGGTGTGAGCTTAAAATAAGAAGCCTAAGAAGCTATACATATGGCGTGAACTTAACAAGAGGACAGAGAAGCACAAACTTGAGAGAGAGAGAGAGAGAGAGAGAGAAAGAGAGAGAGAAATGGCAGATGAAAGCAATGGAAGCTCAGAGAGTTTTGTTAAGATTCCAGAAATAAAGTTCACGAAGCTCTTCATCAACGGAAATTTCGTCGATTCCATTTCAGGTTTTTTTCTTTTACAGGCTTTCATTTCATATTATTTTCTAGATCTTCCTTCTTTGATGTGTATGTATATATATATAATTAAAAATTTGAAAAATGCTTGGGACACTACAACATTTTTTTAGTTTTGTGACATTTGAAAGTGCCACAAAACTATTCTTCTAATGACATTTTTTGGTCTTGTGGCATTTTGAACAAGTGCCACTTCTATCGGTGCCACGGTAGATACGAGTGCCACGGTAGATACTTGCAAGTGCTACTGCACCATCATAATTGAAAACTTTCAATGACATTTTAATGTCATGGCAGCTATTATTTGTGGCACTATCAAGCGCCATTAAAAAAAGAGTTAGTGACACTTGTAAGTGTCATTACACCATCAAGACTAAAACCTTTCAGTGACACTTTAATGTCATGGTAGGCACTATTCGTGACGCTATCAAGTGCCATTCATGACGATAATTCGTTGTAGAACAATTTGATCTGCTCTTGCAGAGACTCGAACCGCCAACCTTCCGCACCATAAACCTTATACACCACACTCTTCCCACTACACCTCTATAGCACCACATGATTATATATGCAACATATATTATTTATATAATACATACATCCATATTAATATAAAAGTATATGTATAAACATAATTATTTTATTGAACATAATTTATGTAAAATAAACTATTTACTACCAAAATAAAAAAAGACCACTTTTGGCATCTAAAAATATTTTTTAGTCGCCAATTCTATACTTTTAGCTACTAATTGTTTTTTAATTGCTAAAAAACTTAACTTTTGTCGACCAAAATCAAATTTGGTAGCCGAAGATGCACTTTCAGCTACCAAAATTTTGGTCACCAAAATATTTTATTCCCGCCTTAGGATTTTAGTTCTCCCGCGCTAAAAATGACCACTTTTGGCGACTAAACTTATTTTTTAGTCGCCAATTGTAGACTTTTGGCTACTAAATTATTTTTGGCACCAAAAAGCTTTACTTTTGGCTACTAAATTTTTTTTAGTCGGTAAAACCCATATAATCAGCGACCAAACTTATTTTTAGTCGCCAATTGTAGACTTTTGGCTACTAAATTTTTTTAGTTGCCAAAAAGCTTTACTTTAGCCTACTAAAAATTTTTTAATCACTAAAACCCATATAATCAGCGACTAAACTTAGTTTTAGTCGCCAATTGTAGCCTTTTGGCTACTAAAATTGTTTAGTCGCCAAAAAGCTTTACTTTTGGCAACTAATGTTGTTTTAGCTTTCAGCGACCAAATTTTTTTGGTCAGGAAATTTAGTCGCTGAATATACTTTTTCCTGTAGTGTATATTGAGTTTAATTCATTTATTTTTAATCATTTATTGCATTTTAAAAATTTAGAAAATATATTGGCATTTTTTATTTTTTCAAAAATGTCATTATAAGCTTGGAAAGTTTTTGGCTTAGTGACATTTCTCAAAATGTTATAAAATATTTATTTATGACACTTTTCACCTAAGTGCCATAAAAAGTAATTTGCACCTACCTAGTGTCCTGACATTTTTTAAAAAATGCCATTGCAAATATTCATAAAAAGTTTTTGTAGTGACATTTTTGTTGTAGTGAAGTGGCACTTTTTTTAATTGAAATGCCACTAGAGCCTTGTATGTTTGTGGCTCTATGACATTTTTCTAAAAAATGCCACCAAATATTCTTTTTGTGACATTTTTTAAGAACATGCCACTAGTATGGTGTCACTAAAATATGTTTTTGTTGTAGTGTTGTGACACTTGTTCATTGAAATGTCACTAGAGCCTTTTATGTTTGTCGTTTTGTGACATTTTTCAAAAACGTGCCACTAAATATCATTTTTGTGGCATTTTCTAAAAATATGCCACTAGTGTAGTGCCACTAAAGTATATTTTTGTTGTAGTTTTGTGACACTTATTCACTGAAATGTCATTAGAGCCTTTTATGTTTGTCGTTTTGTGGCATTTTTCAAAAACGTGCCACTAAATATCATTTTTTGTGGCATTTTCTAAAAATATGCCACTAGTGTAGTGCCACTAAAGTATGTTTTTGTTGTAGTGGGAGCACTAATTAGTGCTCCCACTAATGAGGTGGCAGTGGGTCCCGCCATTAATGATGTGATGTTTTGGTCTTGGAGTGTATTTTTTTTTACTTTTTTAATGCATTATTGCTATTAGTAGTGATGTTTTTAGTGGGATGAATCATTATTGTAAAAATTTTGCTTTTGCTTCCTTTTAAGTGTGCTTTTGATCACTACTATGCTTTGATTTTTCTCTTCTTTTTCTTTCTGACATCTAATTGCAAAAAACCTTTAGTTTGTAAATGAGTTTTGTTATAAAGTCCAACTTTTTACTTCACCAAGAGATAGATTTTTGACGAGCCGAGTTCAACAAATATTTGAGGGTCGAAGTCGAGCTCAATTTTTGAAACTCGACTAGAACTCGGCTCGGGCTCCGGCTCCGGCTCCAGCTCCGGCTCGACTCATTCTTAGTAAACAAGTTTGAACATTTAAAAATTCGACTCGATTTGACTCATTTGCAATCCTCTAAATCATGGTCAACCGGTGCGTCAAACATCCTTATGATGGGTGGATGATCTAATGAATTGACAATGATGCCTCATGAGGGCCCTCCCAGCAAAGGGGTCTAGCCCATTGGAATGGTGTAAGGCCTGTAAGATCTGTCAAAATTTGGATCAGATCAAGATAAACCCGAATTTGATCCGAATCCATTATCTCATATATGATTATAGATCACCCGAATTTGAATCGGATAATTTTGGATATCTGATCCAATAATATGATCTGATCCATTTATTTATTTATTATGTTACAATTTTATATAATTTGATTTTTTTTTTCGTTTTGTGTTTCCTACATTCAAATAGAGAATAATAGGATCAGATTATCATATAAGATTGGATCAGATTATCAAATCAGATTAGATTTTTGTATATTCGATCTGTTTAATAAACGAATTCAGATTATCAAATTGCCGAAACGATTTTTTTGTAAATAGATTCGGGTTGCATTCGGATTAAATCTAATCCATTGACAGTCCTAGCACAACGATCAAACAATAATTTTAACATAGATAGGAAATGAGCATCACTCACATGGGTATAGATACTGCACATCCTCTCCATAGAAAAGTTATTTGGGAATCTTACAGCAATATTTCACATCATTTAATATATAACTTGTTATATCTCTCAAAATTCAACATAAGAATTGTCGGTCTCACTATTTTAATTAATATAAAATAAATTAAGATATTACATAAATTTGCTTCGAAACTCGTGTACAATTTTACCTCTCAATGACAGCGTATGGATATATAAAAACACAAAAATGCTTGGTAATTTCACATATGAATATATAAAAACACTCACACGTAGAACTCACGCTTATATGAGTGTTTGATAATTTTTTTAATAAATTTCTCAATATCTCTAACATGACTTATAGAACAAGTGTGTTACTTTCATGATTGATCTCAAATAATAATGTCACAAATAGAACCATATTTACTCTCGTTTAGACACCTAACAGAGGGGGGAAATTATATAGTGATCTTGGATAAATTTCAACTTAATATTTTATGAAATTGTATTTTCTTTTTTGATTTTTAAGAAAACAATAACTATTTATCATGTAATAAATAGTGTGAAATATAATAACCTCAAATGAGAGAGAGAGAGAGTGGAAAGGTGTACGTGTAGTACGCAGGGCGGAGCCACCAATAAAGAATTGGTGTCAGCTGCTGACCCATCAATAAAAACACACACTATTTGCAATCGAACTGAGTGGTTATTTGGTGACTCTAGAATATTGTTTTTATGTCAATTCGTATTCTGTCAATTTGGTAATTTTCTTTTAAAATAAATTTTTCCTTCTCGGCATTGGGTCACCATTAGGAATCAAGATCCCTCCTTGCATTTCCTCCCTACATTTTTTATTTGCAAGGTTATTGGGTTTACTTTTAGGTCTCATTTTAATAATTTAAACTGTTCGTATTTTAAGATTTGTTCAGTATATCATACCTGTAAAAAATTAAGTTGATCAGGTATCAAAAAGCATGTGTTCGGAAAACTCGAACTAAAAACTATTTTTTTAAAGAATTTAATAAACAGTTTTCCGAATACATGCTTTCTGATATCCGATCAACTTAATTTTTTATAGATATGATATACTGAATAAATCTTAAAATATGAACGGTTCGAATTATAAAAATTGAACATAAAAACGGGTCCAATGACCTTGCAAATAAAAAATACAAGGAGGGCATCCTAATTCCACCATTAGCGGCTTTGACGCTTCCAAAGCTGAAGGCTTTTGTCTGACCCTCATAATTTGATTCTTCTACTAATATTCTTCATTTTAAAATTATAATGAAAGATTTTCATTATATTATCTAAAAAATTTTAATGATTATTTTTAAATTTAAAATATTAATATTTTTTTATAATTATTTTATAATCTTTATGGAATATAATGAAGATATTCCGTTAGAATTTTGTAATAGAGAATTCTAAAGGATTGGGTTTCTTCAATGAAGACTGCATGTACCTAGGGTTGTTTTGGAAAGTTTGGAAAGTAGGTTAAAAGTTAATTTTTTTAAAAAAATATATAAAAATATAGAGAGGTAATATGATCTAAAAAGCCAAAAAAGCCAAAGTTGCCAAAATGGGCCTTAAAATCTTACTAATAATCTTACAAAAAACATCCGTGTCCAAATATCATTGGAGGTTTAATTATTATTATTTTTTTGACAACCAATCACATTTGACCATTTGTATTTTTTAATAGGGCTGAACAAGGAATCCATAAAATCCGTAATCCGATCCAGTCTAGTCCAATCCAGTAGGTTTGGATTGGTTTTTTGAATCCGTGGTTTGGTTCCGGATTGAAAAATTAAAAATTCGTAGTTCACAGATTGATTCCAGATTAAACCCCACGGTTCCAGATTGGAACTGATCCGGACCGTATACAAATAGTCTATATTTTTATTATACACCTTTCTACATAGTATTTTCTCTTATTTCATATAAAACTTAAGTTCAAGCCTAAACTTGCATAGTATCTTCTTTTATTATTTTTGTTTGCTAGTTTTTAGTGTTAATTTGTAATGGTCTAAATATTTATGGTGGAACTAATTTTCTTATGATTGTTTAAATTCTAAAACAGTTTGTCGCTATTATGAAAATACATGTTGCTATTGTGAAACTAATATGGTAATATATTTGTATTTTTATGAAATTAAAGTGTTATATATATTTTTTGTTTTTTAATTATGTAAATCCGTAGTCCTAAACCGATCCAATCTGTGTTTAAATGGATTGGTTCGGATTGGTTCCACGATTTAAATGGATTGGATTGGTTCCAATTTTTCAGGATCCGTAGATAACCGATTAGTCCTAGTTTTACTCCAATTCGGTCCAATCCGGACCGTGCTCACCCCTATTTTTTAATAAGATTTTTAATAACATTGTTGGTATGTGTATAATTTTTTCTTCAATATTCATATATCACTATTAGAGAACTGGAGAGGGGTCCATAAAATCCATCACGGATCTCGTTTTAATAGTTTAACTAGTTTATTTTATGTGACTCTCCATCTATATCATTCATGAAAAAAATTAAGTCAATCCAATAATTGTGACATTTTCATTTTATAGTGTTTGTCTCTAAAAAAATAGATGGTCTATTTTGAAAATATATTTGTCGTCTATTTTTTTAAGATAAATGCGCTAAAAAAAATGTTATAATTATTGGATCAAACTAATTTTTTTTTTTTTTATATGAATGATATACATTGAAAGCTTTACAAAACGAATGGTTTATATTCCCGTGGTGGAAAATTTTTCTAATATTGAGATATGAATATGAGAGATATACAATCCTATCCTAAAGCATACTCACATGAACACATCTCCTTCAACAAAAATAATAATAATTGAAGGATAAATTATACTCGCATGAGGTTTGATAAAAATATAATTAGTCTCATAAATTTGATATAATTATATTAATTTTTATTTTAATAAGGTTAAAGTTATCAAAATTAATGCAAATGATATATAGACACATAAATAAATAAAAACAAATATATACTTTACTAGAAAATACATGATAATATTAAAATCTCAAGAGAAATTGTTGTAATTATGTCAAAAATATGAAACTAACCGTATTTTCTTCAAATCATAGGAGAAATTAGTATAATTTACCCAAAAAATAAATAAATTAATTAATTAAAATGGATTTTAAAATCTTACAATCATTTTTATATAACTGGTCTTCTTAATTATTTATCGTTGTTTAATTAGTAATTTCAACATTGGCTTGCTTTACCATAGAATTTAGAGGTATGTTGGAATGAAAGTCATTCATTAGACGTCATTGATGGAATGATGATTAATGGTAAGTGATGATTTCATTTATAATTATATTTTTATTATTTTATAGTCAATTAAATATGAAAATAAATATTTTAATGAAATTGTCGTTGTATTTCACTTTATTTCAATAAACTAAACATCACTTAATTTCACTAATAAATATTGAGATTTTTTTAATAATTATTTTGAATGACCCATAGAATAGAAATTCTGGTAATGTGTGATTAGTAGAATATATTCAATACTCTTACACTGTGTTTGGTTGGAAAATTTGAATAGAGATTTGGAAAGAGAAAGAGAAAATGTAGATAAAATATGAATAAAAAGGAAAAGGAAAATGTTGTATTGAGTAGAGATTTGAAAAGAAAAAGAAAAAAGAAAAATGTAAGTGAAATTTGAATAAAACACAACGAGTATTACTCCATTTTATTTTAATATTTTATCTTCATAGCTTAGACCAATAACAACTATTTTGAAAAATCACCCAAATTTATTTCAGGAATATTATATATAATTTTTCTGTCCGATAGGGGAGATGAATCTGATGTTAAAAGAGTTCAAAAGTTTCACAGGTTAGGATGGTCAACGTCAACAATATCCTTTGTCTAAAATTTTGTAATCATAAGCATGTAATGCTTGTATTGCCTTGTTTGGAATTAACTTTTCAATAAAAAAATAATTTTGGTTTTTTTTAATTATAAATCTTAGCAAAATAAATGTTAATTAAAAAAATCAAATAAAGAATCTATCAAAAGAAAAAAAAGGGGTCAAATGAGGCTCAAATTCTACTTTTTTTTAATAACAGAAGGCTTAAATTCTATTGGATCAGGGTTTCTTTCCAATGAGAGAAAAGTCTAACTGGATCCTTTTGCAGGGCTCAATTTCGTGATATGTGGAGTTTATTTTGTAGTCCCACGAGTAGAAATCATTTATAAAAAAAATCACATCACTTTAATAATTGCAATGATTTTATCAGATAAAAAAAGAGTCCTGCTGGGACCCAGCAGCAGAAGGCGATAGGATCCTCTAGATTGATCTCTCTAGAGTGATCTCCTGAAGTAAAGAAGATGGGCGCGACACCTGTCCCACTAATAAAACCAAGGGTTGAGATTAATCCCTCACCAAAACGACGTCGTTTTGGTGAGAGAAATTAAAAAAAGGAGAAGACCCTCAGCACCCCCACCTCCACGTGGGGGCTGCCAATGGATAAAAAAATAAAAAATAATAAAATAATAAAAATAAAAATTGTTTTGGACCAATCAAAAGGGACCCAGCACCTCCACTGTCGTCTCATGCATTTTTCTAAAAAAAATTTGAAATAAAAAGTTTTTGAGTGGAGAAAAGACGTCCCTAATGAAAATGACATTTCATATCCAACGTTGACGTACAATACCTTTTATTTTTTAATTTCCTAATTTCTTTTTTTTCTTTTTTCTTTTTTAAAGGTAAAACATTTGGGACAATAGACCCAAGAACAGGGGAAGAGACAGCAAGGATAGCAGAGGGAGACAAGGAAGATGTTGATTTAGCTGTCAAGGCTGCCCGAGATGCATTCGATCATGGCCCTTGGCCTCGCTTACCTGGTTCTGTGAGTAACCTTTTTTTTTTTTAATGAAAAATGTTTAAATTTTTTAATACACCACTCTTAATTTTACTCTTAATAATGTAGACTATTACATATTAATTGTTCATTTTATTTAGAAATCAACTAATTAAGATCTAACTCTCTTGTCATATCAATGAGTAAATTTAGAAATAAATGTTACAAGAGTATCTAGCACTACTCATTTTTTGTACCTCTAGTGATGCGCACTTGTGTATAATATAATTCACATCATATATGATCTCGCTAAGAGTAATTATTCTATATTTTAGAAATATCATACTAGTTGTGTACCTGCTTAATAATAAGGGATTAAATGCTTTAAAAATGCTAAAGATTCTATTTATTAAAAAATTTACTAAACACTGATAAAATATTTGACATCTCTGATATTACTCTAAATGCTTAAATGTCTTAAAAAAATCAAAAAACATAACGGACAAATCTTAAAATCTTATTAAATAGAAACACAACCATACAGTGCAATAGACTCTGTGATAATTTTTGCCTACTAAGGCATATGTGATTTTGTTGAGTTGACTACCGTTTGCCAACTCAAATAATCAGTCTCAAAGATTGGTTTGAGTTCAGTTTTTATCTTTTATTTTTATTTTTTTTATTGTCTAATATGAATTTAACTTAGGAAAACTATTTCAATAACAATTTTACTGTTGGATAATTCATGCAAATAATAATTCAATTTGCCGTCCATAGGCACATTAATTTTTTATTTTTTTATTTTTTTTGGGGGGGGAGGGGGTTGTTAAATGATAGTATATTTAAAGGCCTAATCAAAATAATTTGGGAGACTTATTTATAAGTCCTTTTTCAGACGCTTATGATAGGCTAAGTCTTGTGTAATTTCTTATAGAGTCTCAAGTCCTATTTAGATAGGAATGTATTCCACAAGATTCTACATAAACGTAACGTGACGTAACACTTATATAAACGTAACGTAACGTAACGTGACACCTATATAAACGTAACGTGACACCTACATAAACGTAACGTAACCTGTCACGTTACGTTTCGCAAACTTAATGAGTTTTTATTTTTTTAAATTGAATGTGAAAATGTTGCTGGTTTATGTTGGTGTCACGTTACGTTTCATATAAATATGATCTATGGTAACATTCAATTTCCTATATAGGAAATTGAATGTTGCCATAGATCATAGATGTCACGTTACGCTACGTTTATGTAGATATGATCTATAGTAACATTCAATTGTGTCACGTTACGTTTATGTAAGTGTCACATTACGTTTATGTAGGTGTCACGTTACGTTTATGTAGGTGTCACATTACGTTACGTTTATATAGATATGATTTATGGTAACATTTAATTTTTTATATATAGTTTTACTATTATTTATGATATTAACAACTAATATTGAGGGTAAATGTGTCAACAAACTTTCCACAGGACTTATGGGAACATAAATTTTTTAGTAGGACCATATATAGCATAAGTCTTCCTAATAGGACTTATAAATAATTTTTCCAAATAATTTCTATAGGATGCTAATTATATCATAATCAAGGGATTACCTTCTTCCCAATTTCAACATGTCCTTATCATATCCTCGCCTCTTTTCTCCTTTTAAATTCCAACTGCAAATTACTTGGCCCACCAATTCTATTGGCAAAAATGAAAATCCTTCTTTAAAATAAGGAAATTTATAAGAAATCTCAAAAATTTGACCTTTATAATAAAATAAATTCTGAAGTTTTAATTTTGTTAATTTTAACCTTAATTTCTTGATTTGTTTTTAATATGAATCATTAACCTATTTATTTTAAGTAAAACCGACAAAAAAATAAAAAAATGTCTAAAATATCATTTTTCATTGATTTTAACTAAAATATTCAGTGAGTTAATCTTAATCAATTCAGTAATTATTTTCTGTCAAAAATACTAACGACATTATCAATTGGATCAAATTTACACATAATCTAAATTTAAGAGTTAAAATTGACCCAATTAAAAATATAAAGACTAAAATGACATAAGGTGCAAAATGTAATTTAAGAGTTAATTACACTATGTATTTATGTACTTTCATCAAATTTTACTTTAATTCTTTCCTTTTAATTGTAATAATCAAAGTCAAATTGCAATTTTATGGGTTGTTTGGAATGATCAATATAAGTGTACTTTTTGACTTTTTAATTATAAAAGTAGAAGGAAAAAATATATATGTTGGGGATAACTTTTTAACTTTTTACAAAAAAATATGTAATAAAATATTGTGTCAAATATCAAAATTATTCTTATACCCTTCCTGAGTGCATTGTTCAATTTTGTTGACTTTAGGAATTCGTGGCTTATAATTAGCCACGTCAATGCATTTGGCACAATGTGTAAGGATAGGTACACTTTTTTTTCTTTTTTCTTTTTTCTTTTTTGGAACTATAAAAAGATAGGTACACTGACATGCACTTTTTCTTGTTGAATTTAAAAGGGTAAATTTGTAATTTTGTCATTTGTTTATTCAGCAATAGTGTTAACTTTTTTGTTTTTTTAATAACTTTTTAACTTTTTTAGGGAATGCCAAACATCCACTTACTCTTCCATCCATTTACCATTAACAAAATTGATGGAACTTGTTATTTGAATCATACATGACATTTTTGTTGTCTCATTAACACCCTCACATTTCTACTAAAATTTCACTTTGATCTCTCCACTTTTAATTTTTGTTAATTTCATTCATAATAGATGGACGGAATGACGAGATTGAAACTTGATTTAAAGTATAAAGAGTTGACTATTACAATTGAAAGTGAAGAGATGAAAAGGACATTTTAATGAAAATGCAAGGATACTATGCCTAATTTACCCTAACTTGTGCACTAACTAAATGTGTGTGTGTGTGTGTTCTTGCTTAGAGGGCTGATCAGGCAAGGCGAAAGATGATGTTGAAATTTGCAGACTTAGAGAACGAAAATACACCGTTGATGCCAATGATGCATAGTGACTTCTTCTGTAACACTACAAATTGATAATTAGTGACTTTTTGTGACACTGTAAATTGACAATTAGTGATTTTTTTTTCATGATTTTAAAAAATTGACGCTAAAACTTACAATTTGTGACATTTTTCTGTGAGAAATTTTTCAAACCATCGCTGAAAGTTGAAAATTAGTGATTTTTTTGTAACGATTTTTTGATTTTTTTGTGACAATTTTTTTAAACTATTGCTAAAAAGTGATGTTTTTTAATAGTGTTTGATAAAAAATGTCATTAATTATTATAGAATATATTGGATAATAAGTTCATTTATTAAGAACTACACACAACTCCTTCAAATATTTTGTTTTAAAAAAGTGATTTTATTCCTAAATTTTTATTTCTAAAACCGTACTTAATTTATTGTAGTGACTAGCTAAATATTTCTTCTTTTTGGCCTGATTGGAGGCGTAATCAGGCAAGGCGAAGAATAATGATGAAATATGCAGACTTAATCGAGGAAAATAAAGAAGAACTAGCTGCATTGGACACCATTGATGCGGGGAAATTGTTCAGTTGGGGAAAGGCCGTGGATATTCCTGTAGTAGCAGAAATGCTGCGTTACTATGCCGGTGCAGCAGACAAAATTCACGGAGAGACATTAAAAATGTCGAGGGAGCTTCAAGGGTACACATTGCGCGAGCCTGTTGGCATTGTCGGACATATCATCCCCTGGAACTTCCCAAGTTCCATGTTCTTCATGAAGGTTGCACCAGCATTGGCAGCTGGCTGCACCATGATTGTCAAGCCTGCTGAGCAGACACCCCTTTCTGCTCTTCGCTATGCTCATTTGGCTAAGCTGGTATGCATGCAAATAGTTGGTTTTATGGTTCACTTTATGAAAATATATCAAAGGGTTTATTAGTCTCTCTAGTTTAAGCGAAATTTCACTTTAGTTTTTGTAGTTTTAATTTGAACAATTCGATCATTACACTTTCAATTTTGTTACAATGTGATCTCTTCGTCATGCGTTTGTTAACATTTTGAACAGAAAAAATCACGTGCAAAACTAGAAGACCAATATATTTGGTCCTTCTAGTTTTACACATAGTCTTTTCGGTTCAAAATTCTAATAGTAAATGACGGAAGGACTACATTGCAACAAAATTGAAAGTATACAATTCAAATTGTTCAAATTAAAACTACAGGGACTAAAATGATACTTCGCTTAAACTATAAGGACTAATGGCGTAATTTACCCTATATCAAACATAACTAACAATGTATAAAAACTCAAATAATTTCTAAAATATGCGTTGTGTGTTCTTTTTTTAGTTCCCAAAATTGTAATTGTCAATTTCATTTTAATGTATATAGTTTGTTTGTATCTAAATGGTCTAATTTCATATGTCCTGTTTTAATTATCATTGGAATCCTAATAAAATACACCTATTGATCTCAAAATTATGCATTATGGTCTCCGAAACTTTTTAGTTTTCACAAATTCTAGGTACCCAAATAAAGTACCCATAAAAACAATGTATGATCCAGATTTATTTAATGTGAGACAATTTGATTCACACTACTCTTTTGGGGGTAAAATTATGTATATTCACTCTTCTAACAGTTATTTGTTTTTGCTTTTGTTTTGCTGTGCAATGTTGGATGGAATAAAGGCTGGAATCCCAGATGGAGTCATAAATGTTATAACAGGATTCGGACCAACTGCCGGTGCTGCCATTGCTTCTCATATGGACATTGATAAGGTGATTCTTGCTAATGTTAGCTTATCAGTTCTTTTATGTTTACAGAATTGAACACAACATTGTTAATGGGATCTATACATTTGATGGGAATAGAATTGCACATGACCTTTTCAATGGGATCCATACATTTGATGGGAGCTCACTTCTTGTGAAAGGGTTGTGTCCAATTCTATCATTTGATTTTGTGCATTTAAAATTTTTTCCTAACGGTTTTTCTATATGCACATAATTTACTCATAGAACCGGACAAAATCACCCTCTGGTTTCACCACATATAAGAGAGTTATGTCTGATTTTAAGTTCAAATTATGTGCGCTTAGAATTTTGTGCTTATTAATCCAATCATAGCTAATGGTATTGTAGTTGTAATTTTTGTTTGTGTGTTGTGTATTTTCTGTCAGATAAGTTTTACCGGGTCCACAGAAGTAGGAAGGCTTGTAATGGTAGCAGCAGCAAAAAGCAACTTGAAAGCAGTATCACTTGAGCTGGGAGGCAAGTCCCCTGTGATAATCTTCGACGATGCAGATGTTGACAAAGCTGCTGATCTTGCTCTCCTCGGAATTATGTATAACAAGGTCTTCTCACTTCTTGTGTTTCTTTATTTTTTGTGTCCACTTACACTGTGTTTAATTCATGAATTTAGAGAGGGATTTGAAAAGAAAAAAGAAAAGGGTAAGTTAAATGTGAATAAAATATAACTACATTTCACATACATTTCACACACATTTTCCTTTTCTCTTTCCTTTTTTAAATCTCTACCCAACTTCATAAATTAAACACATCGATAAAGTATCAAGATGATGGAAAGTGAAGTGAAAAAAAATAAGATTTTTATTGGGTAAATTACGTTTTATGTTTCTTAGTTATGGGTCGTTGTCACTTTACTCTCCAGCTAAAAATTATTACATTTTGGCTTATTGATGTTCTAATTTTGTTGCAATTTCAATCATCTATTGACATTACCAATTTTATGACCAAACTGGCCATTCAAGAGCAAGTTTTATATCTATATATATGACATAAAATATTTAAACACACATGTCAATTTTGTGATCAAATTTAAATATATATATATATATATTCACGTATGTGTATATAGACTTCCTAGTACTATGATCATAAAATTTGCGTGTATAGTTTACATTAGGGGTGGGCGCGGGTCGGTTGCGGCCACGGAACCTCCAATCCGCCATCCATCCGCTAAATTGGCGGATTGGAGAAAATCAATCCGCATCCGTCCGCCAATCCGGCGGATGTGGATTGAGCAGTTTGGCGGTTTGGCGGATGGATGCGAATCGGTTTGGCGGTTTAAGATTTTATAAATTTTTAACATAATTCAACTTGTGCACTTTCTAAAATTATCTTTGGTCCAAAAACGCAAGTGGTAAAAACGCAACAAAATTGGTTTGGAAAGTAATAAAAACGGAAGTGTGAAATTATAAATTGGGACCTATGACAAAAAAATAAAAAAATAACTCTCTTATGTTGGGTAATGGTATTTTGGTCATTTTAATTTGATTTGACACCATAAACAAATATTAAACTAAAAAGCCAAAAGCCAGCTTTTTACCAACTTTCCAAATCACTTTCTAAAAAGCTAAAAAGTTTGATAAAAAACCAAAAGCCAGCTTTTTACCAACTTCCAAAAAAAAAAACATATGGGGAAATTAGTGGGTACCCATCCCCAACCCATCCCCTGTGGATATTTAAAAAATATCACCTATCCTACCCAATGGATAAGAAAAAGAGGGGAAAACCCATGTATTTGAGTTGGGTCTCCATGGATACCCACAGGGTAGGTTATCCATTGCCATCCCTATTAGTTATGGGTCGTTGTCACTTTACTCTCCAGCTAAAATTTATTACATTTTAGCTTATTGATGTTCTAATTTTGTTTCAATTTCAATCATCTATTGACATTACCAATTTTATGACCAAACTGGCCATTCAAGAGCAAGTTTTATATCTATATATATGACATAAAATATTTAAACACACATGTCAATTTTGTGATCAAATTTAAATATATATACATATATATATATTCACGTATGTGTATATAGACTTCCTAGTACTATGCTCATAAAATTTGCGTGTATAGTTTACATGTCACTTTTTCGTTCTCTTTTCAAAACAGAATTTTAAGAGAATGTTGAGACTGAAACAAATCAAAAGGTTAGTTGAACAAAAGTAAGTTTTAGTTGATGAGTAAAGTAATAACTACATTGACAAATGACATAATTTACCCTTGAAACAACTTTTTTAGCTTAAAAACTCAATTGGCAGTGATATTGTTTTTGTTATTGGAATTTCTTGCTTGCAGGGAGAAGTTTGTGTGGCTGGATCACGTGTTTTTGTACAAGAAGGAATTTATGATGAAATAGTGAAGAAGTTGGAAGAGAAGGCAAAGACATGGGCTGTTGGAGATCCTTTTAATCCTACTGTTCGTCATGGACCTCAGGTAACTAGAAGAGATAATTATTATTCAGTGATACTTTCAGCAAATTATTACAGATTGATGAGAAAATTTAAAACTCTAATTATTAAAATTTGTATTTTTTTTTTTTTTGAACTTACACCGAATTGATATTTTCTCTTATAAGAACTTCTAAAATACTTTCATTAATTTATCACATTGAAATCTAATGAGACAGATCAAAATCTTACCAACACTACCACTCATTGTCACAAACCAACACCACCGAATTGGGATCCTCCCCTTGAGCCCCTCCTTCATTCTCTCCTTGCATGGGCCTTCGGGTCTACTTTGAGGCCCAGTTTTGATAATCCGAACCGTTCATATTTTTAGATTTATTCAGTATATCATACCTGTAAAAAATCAAGTTGATCGAATATCATAAAGTATGTGTTCGGAAAACTGTTTATTAAAAAATAGTTTGTAGTCCCAATTTTCTGAACGCATACTTTCTGATATCCGATCAACTTGATTTTTTACAGGTATACTATACTGAATAAATCTAAAAATATGAACGGTTCAGATTATCAAAACTGAGCCTCAAAGTGGACCCGAAGGCCCCTGCAAGGAGGGAATGAAGGAGGGGCTCAAGGAGGGGATCTGGACTCAACACCACCACCCTACTATCATTACTGCCGCCCTATCACCACCACTACCACAACTACCAACATCATCATTCTTAGGCTCCCTTTGGATTTATGGATCTGAAATGAATGGTTTTGACGTTAATAATTTGAGAAGTATAGAGCCTTTAAATCATTGTAATAACTTATAGATTTAGATATTAAGAATGGATTTGAGCTTTATATGACATCCTTTCATAATATATTTTACTTATACAAGGATCTTAACAAAATACACGAGCTACCATATACTTTCAATAACTAATTTTCTTTATAATTTTATAAAATTCAACATCAAATCCTTTTATCTGAACCCAGTCAAATTGAGCCTTGGGGTCGTAGTCAAACACAAGAAAATATTATCAACTGAAACAAATAAAATATAAGAATAAAATTTATTAAGTGGTCTATGTGCACCATCGCTCACAATGTGACACATAATCGTAATAAGTGATCTCATGTTGGTAGGCTGCAAAGTGACGAACATCTACAAGTGGAATCTACTAATAGGTTGTTGATTCTAAAGTCGGTAGGGGACAGGTTTGGAGAGTTTACTCGTTAACCAAAAAAAAATCTACTAATAGATTGATCAGATACTGTCTACCTATGAATAATGTGAAGCACAAAGTGACTTATGTGATGCCCTAATAGCACCTATGAGTTAGTTAAATATATGGCTTGAAAATCAACATTATGAATGGTGCAGGTTGACAAGACCCAGTTTGAGAGAATACTATCATACATTGAGCATGGAAAGAGAGAAGGAGCCACATTGTTAACTGGTGGCAAGCCATGTGGCCAAAAGGGATACTATATTGAGCCAACAATTTTCACTGATGTCAAGGTAATAATTGAGTCTTTTTCAACTTTATCACAATTGCTCATACTTGAATGGCATGCACAAAGTGCATTTTATGTGGAGTTTAACATTAATTTCATTGATCTTATATATACATATATGGCCTTTGCACAGGACAACATGGTAATTGCAAAGGAGGAAATATTTGGGCCTGTCATGTCACTCATGAAATTCAAGTGAGTTCAATTTTATAGAGCATTTTGTTGGAGATTGAAAAAAAAAAGATCATAACTGATATTGTTTTAGTAAGAAAGCATTTTTAAGTATTTCCAAAACAAAAAAAAAAAAAACAACAACGAAGTTAAACAAAATTTATGGCTAGTGGAGTTTTGAACTTGTAAAAATAAAAATAAAAATAAAAACAAACTATTAATTATCAAAAGATTATCTTGTCTAAGAAAGCTTTAAAGGACTTAGTTGTCCTTACAATTTGAAAAGTAGGATTCATTTGAGTATTTTCAATACTTAACATTATTTTCTTTTCAAATTTAAATTTGATAAAAAAATTCAAAAAGTATCTCCAATCTTTTCCTCAAATATTTATTAAATCAAGAGGGAAACATTTTTTTCATCAAATTGAGAATTCATCAAATTTGAATTTAATGAAAATAATAATAATAATTTAAAAATGATGGATTGGATATAATTTTTGTTCATCAAATTTGATTAAAAAAAAATTAATTTTTTTTGGATAAAAACTTGATAAAATGATTGACATAGTTCATATCAAATCAAACTTTTTATTCAAAATTAAGATCAAATTAGATTAAAAAAAGCAAAAAAGGTTGGACATGCTCTGAGTGCTCTTTAGAAAGAAAATGACCACACCATTATTGTGTTTAGGATACTTGTCATAGTCATTGTCTAGGATCCAGTTTTTCTCTAGTTAGAGAGGAGAAATGCTCTGATAAGTTTTCATAAATTTACATAAATGATTTATAAAAATCTATAAATTGAATACAAATTTGCATAAGTTTTAAATTTTCATAAATTTATGTGAATTTATATTAAATTTACACATTTTTATACTATCACTTATATAAATTCGTAAAACTTATGTAATTTTGTAATAATGTTGCATATGATGTGCAGAATTTTCTGTTAGACAGGTCTCTCTAATTAGGTTTGTGGGTCTCACTAGAATTCCATTGCAGTGATGTGAATAATATATTTTGCAATCCTTTATATGTAAATTATTCTTAAAAAAATTAAATAGATTTGATGATTATAATTACATGATTTTATCAAATTTTATTCAAAAATAAATAAAATAGACAGACAAATATTGAAAATAGTCGTTCAATTTTTTTAAAATAAATGTGATAAAATCACATGATTACTATTATCGGACTATTTGATTTTTTGGGGGGGTAAATTACATTAGTAATCCCTACATTTTGTCGTTTGTGTCATTTTGGTTCTTACACTTTCAATTGGCTCTAATTTTAGATTTTGTGTCAATTTGGTATAATTGATAATATTATTAGTGTTTTTGATAGAAAATAATCACTAAATTAGTTAAGATTAACTTACTAAGTTGACCAAGCTTATTAATTTTGCTTCGAAAAAATATGACACATACCACATATGTGCATATTTTCTATTAAAAATGCCAATATTTGTAATCAATTGGATTAATTGAATCAAAATTGCAAGTTTAAAATCAAAATCAAGTCAATTGAAATTATAAGAACTAAAATGATACAAGGAGAGCGATTAGCAGCATAATTTGTCCTTTTTTTCATAAATTCTCTACACATAGAAACCTACAAAATAAACACTTCAAATCATTAAAATGAGATCTATGGTAAGTCTAATGAGCTTAATGTTGTGTTTGGTTGGAGGATTTGAGTAGGGATTTGGAAACGGAAATGAAAAAAGTAGGTGAAATGTATGTAAATAAAATATGTTTATATTTCATCCAGTTTCACACACCTTTTCCCTTTCCCTTTCCGAATCCCTCTCTAAATCCCCCAACCAAACACAGCATAAGCATAAGAGTTTAAGCCTAAATTATCCCCACGTTTAGAGTCCCCTGTTTTCGTTACATCTTCCCAAAGGGTTTGGAAAATAAAAATGCTAAATGCACAGAAACAAAATACAAAAATAAATACACTTTGTGTAGTTGAAATTCATTAAAAGTGTATTATGAGCCATACTTAAAAGAAAAGTCTTAACCGCATAATATGATTTCTGTACATTTTCTGTGTTCTGTGCTTGTGCTCTAACATTATTGGTTGGAAAATTCAAAATTGTGATGTGATATATATATATACATTTTGGTAGGACTGTGGAAGAGGCAATAGAGAGAGCAAATGCAACAAGATATGGACTAGCAGCAGGGATTGTGACAAATGACTTAAACTTGGCAAATACAGTTTCAAGATCAATAAGGGCAGGAGTCATTTGGATCAATTGTTATTTTGCATTTGACATGGATTGCCCTTATGGAGGCTTCAAGATGAGTGGGTTTGGAAGAGATTTGGGAGTGGATGCTCTTGACAAGTATCTTCAAGTCAAATCTGTTGTCACTCCCATCTACAATTCTCCTTGGCTTTAAATCCATCTCTCTCTCTCAACTTAATAAGTAGTTGACAAAAATAATGTTATACATAAACGATTTACTCGTTAAATTTTTATTTTTATCTTTTATAAACAGACACAAATTGCGTTTGTATTTTAATGACTAAATAAAAAATTTGTTTATGCTTAACATTTTTCTTTAATAAAAGATGGGAAAAATGCCAAATCAGTGAAAAGTTAAAAAATAAATATTAATTTCATGAAAACTTTATGAGTTTGACTTTTAATTTAACAATGTTTTTCAATAATTTGTAAATATAATTCCTACCTCCCACTAAAATGATATTTTTCCATAAAAGATTATGGATCACACATGATATAGCTTGGAAGTTGTAATCTTCATTTCTAGGATTCTTGTGCATTTCTAGGGTAACAAAATGAAGAGACACCAATGTTATATTTAAAAAAAAAAAAATAGTAATTAAAAATTCCAAAATTATTTTTTAATTTTCAAAATTTTCAAAATTTTCTATCTCCTCTCTCTCTTGCTCACGATCGAAGCATGCTGCGCCAGAAGTCTATACCGTCCTTCCCTCATAGACCATCGCCGAAATTCTAAATTATTTTAGTTTTCATGCTATGTTTGGTTTATTGAAATAAATAAAATGAAATAATTATTATCATATTTCTATTCTCACTTTTGATAAGAAAATAATATAAAAAAAAAATTATAAATGGAATCATCACTTATCAATAGGAGAGAATAGTCATTCTATAAACAAGCTAAGAAATAACTTTTAAGTGTTTAAGAATTGACTTTTTTAGTGATTTTTTAAATTTTTACAAAAAATATCTTGCAGCAGGGATTGTGACAAATGACTTAAACTTGGCAAATACAGTTTCAAGATCAATAAGGGCAGGAGTCATTTGGATCAATTGTTATTTTGCATTTGACATGGATTGCCCTTATGGAGGCTTCAAGATGAGTGGGTTTGGAAGAGATTTGGGAATGGATGCTCTTGACAAGTATCTTCAAGTCAAATCTGTTGTTACTCCCATCTACAATTCTCCTTGGCTTTAAATCCATCTCTCTCTCTCTCAACTTAATAAGTAGTTGACAAAAATAATGTTATACATAAACGATTTACTCGTTAAATTTTTATTTTTATCTTTTATAAACAGACACAAATTGGAGTGCATGCGTTTGTATTTTAATGACTAAATAAAAAATTTGTTTATGCTTAACATTTTTCTTTAATAAAAGATGGGGAAAATGCCAAATCAGTGAAAAGTTAAAAAATAAATATTAATTTCATGAAAACTTTATGAGTTTGACTTTTAATTTAACAATGTTTTTCGATAATTTGTAAATATAATTCCTACCTCCCACTAAAATGATATTTTTCCATAAAAGATTATGGATCACACATGATATAGCTTGGAAGTTGTAATCTTCATTTCTAGGATTCTTGTGCATTTCTAGGGTAACAAAATGAAGAGACACCAATGTTATATTTAAAAAAAAAAAAATAGTAATTAAAAATTCCAAAATTATTTTTTAATTTTCAAAATTTTCAAAATTTTCTATCTCCTCTCTCTCTTGCTCACGATCGAAGCATGCTGCACCAGAAGTCTATACCGTCCTTCCTTCATAGACCTTCGCCAAAATTCTAAATTATTTTAGTTTTCATGCTATGTTTGGTTTATTGAAATAAATAAAATGAAATAATTATTATCATATTTCTATTCTCACTTTTGATAAGAAAATAATACAAAAAAAAAATTATAAATGGAATCATCACTTATCAATAGGAGAGAATAGTCATTCTACAAAGAAGCTAAGAAATAACTATTAAGTGTTTGAGAATTGACTTTTTTAGTGATTTTTTAAATTTTTACAAAAAATATACAAAAAATAGGGATATGATTTGATAACTTACAGTGACATTTTAACTAGAAAATAAGGTCCCCAAACCAAAAAGATTTAAAAAATAATTGAAGTGATAAATTATTTAAAAGTAATGCATAGCTGTTTGCAAAATTTATTTATTGTTTATAAAATACTGTTGATTATACTTGTTATAATTACCTCGAGAGTCATATTGGAGGACTAAATTGAACCAATCTAACTCTATTAATAGACGCAATTAAACATTGCAGGGACTAGATCGAATCACCGCTTTATACATTGGGGAAAAAATTGACACAATTTAAATATTGGAGACCAAATTATAATATATCTATCTATCTATATCTATATTTTTACAATTATCAACTGAAGGCCCTCAATTAGTATAGTGAAGGGCTCTCCTCATGTCACGTGGCAGGCTCTCTGTAACGATCCAAAAATTTTCCCTCTGCTCGAGCGGGGGAGTTGACGCTCGAGCGGACTTGAGAGGCTCCCAGCATTTTTGCAGTCTGTCCGAAATTTATGAGAGTTGTGAGTTCCCGCTCGAGCGGACGGCTTTGTTGGTCTGCGCACTCGAGTGTGGGAAGCGATGCTCGAGCGTGGAAAGTGGGATTGCCCTTGGCATTTTTTTAGTGTATTCCTTGTTTTATTTTAGGACATTGATCGAAGTGGTAACATAATGGTAAAGTAAGAGTGAACCAAGAATTTAATTCGGATAATTTTTTCTACGAATAGCCGTCACTCTTTTACCCTTTTCTTTCTCCACACTTTGAATTTGGATGTGAGGCTAAAACCATTGGAAAGTTTATTTCCGGGGCTTCGATTTGGACACAAGAATGACCTAGAACGGAGTCCGGATGAGAGAGTTATACCTGTTTGAAATTTTCATATCTATACTAGAAGTAGGTACGCTCGAGCGTGTAAATAGACGCTCGAGCGGACTGTGCGAATTCAACAAGTTTAAAGGCACTTTTCTAGATCATTTTACACACTTTCATCTTCTCTCTTCATCCCTCTCACCCTTAGTCCGAAAACCCTAGAGATTTTGGCCCAAATACCTTCCGTTCCCCAAAATTTTGGCCAAGATCCCTTATAAAAAAAGTGAAGAAGGCTTAAAGATCTCCCTTTTCAACCGATTGGAATTTGGAATTGAGAAGGATTCTTCTTGGAGCTTTTCTTTCTTGATTGATTGATTCTTGAGGTAGGGGTTCTAATTCTTCTTCTATACTTGCATTAATAGATAGATTTGTGGTATTTTGATTATATAAATGCAAAATCTCCATTAAGCATATAGTGTTGTATCATGGAATTTGGGGGTTTAGGATTTGAAGTGTTGGGGTTTAATTGTTGGGTTAAGATTGTGGATTATGAACCTTAGGTGTATAATCAATGGGAAAATTGGAATAAAAATTAGTGGTTTGAGAAATTTGAATTTTTCTTGGAAGTCTTGATTTTTCTTGAAAACCCTAAGTTAATTCATGATGATAATTAATGATTTTGCCAAATTGAAAATAGAATCATGAAATTGATAGGTTGAATTATATATATACAAGTTTAATTGGATTTTGAAAGTGTTTGAAAATTATGTTAAAAATTAGCAAATGAACCTTTGTTATGGGCATTGTAAATCATGCTATAATATGAAATGAAATTTGGGAGAAAAGATGTGTTAATGATATGGATGCCATAAACTTGGTTATGGAATGTTGAAGTGGGATTCAAGAATTTATCTTGAATTATGTTGAATTGCAAATAGTGTTGTTGAATTAAGTTGTGTTGACTTATGTTGAATTAAGTTGTGTTAAACTATTATGAATTGTGTTTGAATCATGTTGAATTGTGTTGGGTTGAGTTATGTTGTTGTGTTGAATAATGTTGAATTGAATTGTGTTGAACTATGATGAATTGTTTTTGAATCATGTTGAATTGTATTGAGTTGAGTTGTGTTGGGTTGAGTTGTGTTGGGTGGTGTTGTGTTGGTACCTGCGTGAAGAGTTGAAAAACAGTTTTTCGGTGCCCACGACCGTTCGTATAATAGCCGGTAAATGTGGGGGATGGTTTTAAAAAAATTGAAGAAAAAGGTTTTTGGGGGCCCACGTCCCGCCATATAGTAGCCAGCAAATGTGTGGGTGGTTTGAATTAAAAGTGCCCAATTGCCTTGTCTAGGCTTATCGTTGGACGAATGTGGGAAAATGTTTTTGGGTGTCCACACAGTCCTGCCGTATAGTAGCCGGCGAAAGTGGAAAAATGATTTTTGGGTGTCCACACAGTCCTGCTGTATTGTAGCTGGCAAAAGTGAAAAAACGGATGGTTTTCGAAAATGTTTTGGGTGCCCACATCCCACCATATAGTAGCCAGCAAATATGGGAGATGGTTTTAAAAAGTTGAAAATTGGTTTTTGGAAAAATATGATTTTTGAAAGAAAATGACTTTTGAGAAAATGTTTTTTTTGAGTGTTCACTTCCCGCCGTACAGTAGCCGGCGAAAAGTGGAAAGTGTTATGAATTGGGTGCCCGCTGTCCCGCCGTAGTAAGTCGGCAAAAGGTGGATTGTGTTGAGATATGTATTGAGAAGTGTGTTGAGTTGATGATGTTATTTGTGACTTGTGATGAATTTGTGAAATTGCATATTGATGTGTAATTTGGTTTAAAGAGGAAATGTGCATAGACATTATTTATAAAGAATGGAAGCCAAAAATAGGTAAGAGGATTATGGACAGGTGATGGTAAACTTAATGACGTAGTTGTCGCAATAAAGGCAAATTATGAGTGTTGTTCTGTAAACAAATTAGGGAACTTAAACTTGAATTTATGGAGGTCTAAATAAATATAATGAGTAGAAAAGAAGAATGAAAGAAAAAGAGGAACATTAAAAATGAAAATTAAATGAGAAATAATTTAGGAATTGGTTAATAACTTTTAAATGATGTTATTTCTTAAATATGTTTATTTCACAAGGATCTACGGTTTTCTAAAGTTAAGGGATGATTTGTAATGGCTGAAGGTTTTTCTTAAAAGTGTTTAAATAGTTTTTGAGAAAAATGTACTTTACTTATGATATTTTGAAATTATAAAATGTCACCCTACTATATGGTATCACCCTACATGCATGATCATTTCTATCTGTGTGTTAGCTATTGATTTAGAACTATGAGATTCCTACTGGGAATTAGTGCTCACCCCTTGTTGTTTCATCTTTTTACAGGAAGAAAGTTCGGATTTTTTTATTGA